CCACAGCCGATCCATGTCTGTGTACGGGAAGGCGTTCTTCATATCCCCGAAGAAAGCATATACTGCCGTTCCGTCGGCTCGGGCCTGTTCCACCGCTGTCCGGAAGATAAATGCGTTGTCCTCCGTTCGGCGGCCGCGGCGGAAGCCATTCTGTGAGTCTGGCAGCACCCCCGCGGCCTCACACCATTCTGTCAGGCGCTGCGCAAAAATCAGCGTCAAAGTCTTTAAGGGGCAGCTCTGAAGGCTGACCACCCGGTAGCTCTCAGGGTCTACGGGCGACTTCCCTTGCTTCAGGATGCCAACTAGCAGCGTAACGAGCCAGGCCTGTGGTGCGTCACAGTCTTCCAGACACTTGTTGAACAGCTCAGCAAGCATCTCATCCTGCATGCCTCGCAGGTCTCTGTAAGAGATGCCGTCAACCCCCGTTGCACTTCGGGGGCTCCGCTTTCGCAGCTGGCCCTTCGCATACTTGATATCCGCCACTGATACGGGCCGGGAGAAGGGCGAACCCGGCGTCAAATCCGTTGTTCGCGGGGGAATAGTTTTGGAGAACAACAATTTCATCGCATGTGCATCTTCATCAAAGTGAGGCGGCAGCACTACAGGCTGGTTCAAGCGAGTCGCGAATGACTGATGCAGTGCCGCTGGTGTTACCAAGGGCCTCTTTGGGCGCGGATCAGTCCAGGAACGCACAAGGTCCCAGAAGTCCCGAACGCTCGAGCACCCACGCAAGCGCAGGAGGTTCTTGAGCATCAACTCGCGCTCCCCCGGGGACGCTTGCTGGATCTCGTCGCAGTCCCAGATATTTCCACTGGTGAGAGCTGTCTGATTTGATTCACTACGATCCGACTCCTCGGACAGCGCAGTAAAGAGCTTCGGTGTATCCACCGCCACTTGACGCGCTTCAACTGCAAGCTTTCCCAAGTCAGGCCAGATAGGTGCAGCTGAGACATCAAGCGTTTTCCGCGCATGAAGGTACAGTGGTCAGAGCTGTCCTCGCGTGTGCCTCTGCAGACCTCAGCATGCCCACCGCAGTAGGTTCCGCTAACCAGCGCATCTCTACCGACGCCGAGCGCATCTTCACCCACTCCGCCACCGACTGGACCACATCCGAGTTTGTGTCCTGCCATTCTGTCAGCGCCTCCCTCGGCGCCTTGTAGCAATAACATCGTATCAGCCTCTGAGACGTGGTGTACACAATTAGCGGTCGGTTGCGGGGGCCATAGGCAACCACTCGCAGTAGTGCGCAGTGCAGAGCTCGAATGTCTGTCTGCCTGCCCTCCACCGGCCCTGCAGCGTTCCTAGAGCACCCATCACCCCAGAAAGCCGCGCCCGCAACCTTACGGGCTGGTGTAGTGCCGCCCCGAGAGGCACATGCAATGTACACCGAAATCGGGCGGGGGTCGTGGTCATACACCTCCCCATACAGACGATGACTGGCCTCTTCGTCATTGATATGCGAAGAGTACACAGCTTCCGCCAGCAAGTCGAGAGCAGTTGCCTCTGCGAATATGATAGGCGGGGGGAGGAGGCGAACGCTGCAAGGGCGTGAAAGGGTGAGTCTCTACCACGAGTTCCAGTGAGGCGTGATCCGACAGATCTGGGTTCCCGCGTTATGCGGAGGGACCCATCGTCGATTCTTTCCAACAGCGATTGGGAGCATATCGCGTAGTCGATCACCGTGCAGCCAAGCGCCTGGAAAGATGTGAAGGCCCCCGGTGTACTAGTCTCTTTGACGGTCCCATTCAGAATAACCAGGGAAAGCTCCCCACACCATCTGTTGACTCTTCTACCCCGAGCATCGGGAGGTTTGTTGTCCGAGGAGAAGCGCCCCAGAGGAGAATTGTGTGGAACTGTGTTACCAATCCGCGCATTAAAGTCCCCTACTGCCAGAACCGGTTTATCTGCGGAAGCCGAACAGTATGTCAGCGCCTCACGAAAGCGTTCCTCCGGGTCCACATCTGTCCACTCTTGCCATCGCGATGAAGCGGGCGGGATGTAGGCACCTATGAAAAAGAAGTCCGCCATATCCAGAACCACAAGATCGGGGCCGCACAGAGCTCCAAGGACCTGAAAAGGGATACCTCTCCGAATCACAGCAAGGACGCCTCCCCAGGCCAAACGCATTCCTGGCAAGTCCCGACGAGACATAGCAACCATATCATAACCTTCAGGTATAGGCAGTGATTCCTCCTCTCCAATTCGCAGAAAGGTCTCTTGGAAGAAGACAATATCATGCGCTTTGATCATCCTAACTACTGTCGGTTCACGAAGCTTCAGCGCGAGTCGGCCATGAATATTCCACGACATAATACTACATCTTTTGTAGCTATCATGAGCTTGTAGACAAGACCGGGAACAGGAAGTACTACCCCGATGCATGCAGAGCCTTCCCTGTAACGCGACGCTTTGAGAAGCTCTTTGGAGTCGCGACATGCAGATGCACCATGCGCGGGGGTTTTGCATCGCTTGTCATGATGTTGTAGAACCTGCGGCGCTGCTGCCTCCCCTTCAAAGCGCATACTGATGACCACCCCCGGCAGGTTGCGCATATGAACAGCGTTGAAGAGCAGCCTGCGCTCCAACCCACATTCATCCAGAGCAAGGTTGGCATAATAGGTCGCGCCCTGGGTCGGTGACAGCTTCGGAAGATCGAACAGATAGACATCCGACACTGTGTCGAAACCATCTCCGTCTGACTGGCCTTTTTTGGAGGGGGAAGGTTCCCGCCGCCGTTTTTCACCTGCTCTCGGCATCGAGGACGGAACCGCAGATGCGAATGGGTTCGAAGTTTGGGCCTTGTCCGGGGGAACGTGTGCCTGCTGCGGGGCCTGGTCTGGCAAAGCAGGTAGCAGGAAGGCTGAAGGTGTATAAGGAGCAGCTCCGATTTCGCTGTTTACGCACGATTAGCCAACTGAGTGTCTTCCAATTCTGGAGAACTATCCATCCCAGCAGCGCCTCCGTCGTCGGCCCGTGAGTTACGGGCAGCAGAAGACGCCCGGATATCTGGCAGGGGGGCTAACATTATGTCAGGGCGGCGTCCGGGGATGCGACGGTTCACACCCATCTCGTCGAGCAGCTGCGCGGGTCATACGCTCCGCCTGCAGGATGCGGACCTCCTTGGAGAGTCTTGCAAGTCCGAAGGTGCCTCTATTTGCTCGTTGACAGTCAGCGTAAGTTTGCGAACATGCTCGCGCATCGTTGACATCTGTGAGTTGACTGCACCCACTGTGGCCTTGACTCCAGCCAGTTCGGTAGCCATTGTGGCGGAGCTGCCCTGTTGACTTGCCGTCTGAACCTCTGCAAGGCGCCGTAGCAGCTTGTCGTAGTTAGCCTGCACCATATTCTCTGCCTGGCCTACGCGCTTCTCGCTCTCTGACAGCATCAACTCCATCTCCAGCATCCGAGAAATCAGACGTTCCTCGTTGCAGAGGAGTTTTGCGGCGCGTTTCAGGGACAGGGTCCCCCGTCTTGTGCTGTTCAAGGCCTGCCAGCGCAAACTTCTCCTTGGTTGTTGGTGCAACAGAGGTCGAAGAGAAGGACGAGGAGGACTGGGTTGCGGATAAGGCCTTTGGCGCCGCCTGCTTGCGGCGCTTCGAGGGGGACGGGGTGTCTGCATTGTCGCCCTCTGCCTCCACCGGAGTCTTGTCCCATGTCGCGTCAGTCTGACGCACGAGGGAACGAGAGGTGGAAATCGGGGGAAGTAGCTGATCGGGTGCCGGCCCTCCAATACCCTGGGTAGCTGCCTCTGGATGGGGAGTGTGAGATGACAAGACATTGGCCGTCTACCACCAGTCAGTTTGGCTCTGGAGGGTATGTGAAGTACCTCTTCCTCGCCTCCTGAGTAGTCTAGAACCTCATCCACAGGCTCCATTGGGACGGCAAAGAGATACAGGTGCTGCACCCGTCTACTCCATCACCGCCTTTATAGCCCCCACCACGTCGTCAGGCCACTCTGAAACTTGGCTGCCTGGGAGAGAGGACTGCGCCTTTGCGAAGTCGGTCCCCGTTTTACCGAGCTCATAGGTTCAAGAGTCCACAAGTGGGCAACGATGACAACGATGCTTCACATTGGCCAGAGTCACATGCATTTAGCGCCTCCACGGCTAGTACATACATGGTGTCGCCCTACTGTAGTACCGCAGGGGCAACATTCCACAGGCTCCAAGCCACGCGTATCAGGCACACAGCAATACCTGACCGGCTGAAACGTGCACTTCGGGCAGCGAGCAAAATTTTCGAGGTGGACAGAGACAGGCGCTTTGCGCACGGCCTCCCCCCCGGATCGGTCGGCTCTCTGGCCTTTGGCAGCAAACACTCGCGTCCTTGCGACCGCCAGAGGCGTGAACTGCAGGTGCATCGTGCTGCCCCATGTCTGATTTCCCGTCCCAAGGACCAAGAACGCCACCTGCCAGCGTCCATGTTGCGCTCTCGCAGAGCGCAGACCGTCTTTTGTCGGCCCACAAGACTGCGATCTTGACGGATAAAATTTCCTTTCATGGGCGAAGACGTTCTTTTCAATGTTGACAAGCGGAAGGAAAACGTGGTCACTCGTGTCACGTCCGTGACGGGATCCAGATCCGCCCGCCATCAGCAACGTGGCAATATGGAGGTTTCCTCCGCCCACCACCGCAAACAAGCTCTGCACCGTGCACGATGCGTCTCACCCACACTCGTGGGGTTCCTGCCCCCATAGCTTCCGCGAGGAGACGCTTTCTGCTCTCCAGCCTTGAGGATAGGCGCCGCGTGGCCGTTGATTGTGCGTGTTAATGGTCCCTCCAACTCGCTGACACTCACTATTCCCCACAGATATTAATCCGATCATGAATGCTGTCTAGTGGATATCACAAAAACGCCCGCACCACGCCTCAGCGAGCGGACTGTGCGCCATGCCCCCCTAGCGAGGCGGAGACCTTCAAAAGTGCGCCCCACCCACAGGTCTCCCCAACTGCCTCCCCTTCCTCGACTCCCCACTTTCTTATCCCCTCAACTATCCAACTATGTCGGACGTTCTCGGTGTCATTGTCCTTGCCCGCAATGGCGAGCGGACAGAGTACTACCAAGACCCCTCCTCTTATGCGGGCGGGCTAACCGACTCTACACCACTGGGCGTGTCTTCTCTTCACGCGCTGGGCAGCCAGCTTCGCGAAACTTACCTCACACCCGGCGCCCCGGCGTTCATCGACGGCATGTCCCCCGACCTCGCTGACACCGAGCAAATCAAGGTCCGCGCCAAAGCAGGGACAGAGGGCCCGGTTGTCTTCGACAGCGCGATTGCCCTCCTGCAAGGCTTGTTCCCTCCCACCCCCAAAAACAAGATCACGCTCGCAGACGGGAAGGAGGTCGTCGCACCGCTGGGCGGGTATCAATACGTGCCGAGTAAGATTCTATTCTCTACTTGGTTTGCGTCTGATAATTACTAGTGGAGACTGTTGAGCCCGGCAATGACCGATCCATGGAGAGCTGGACCGACTGCCCCGTATGTCCCGCTTGTGTCCAGGAGCGAGCGCTGATTGTCGGAGACAGAATTTCAAGAAACACGTCGTGTCCTTCCACTCTTCGGACGAGTTCAAGAAGAAGGCGAAGGAGGCTGCGCCATTTTTCAAGGAAGCCAAGGACTTTGTCTTCGGGCGCGCCGCTTCTTTGGAAAACATTGTGCGTTTGCCATGTGCTTGACTTCGCTTTGCTTATGCTTCAATAGTGGAATGTAATGCGCCATCTTTTGCGGCAGGAGCTATCTACTGACGCCCAAATAGATTCATGACTTCATGTCCACGCAGCTTACTTACAACCAGACATACGCGTACCGCCTTCCACCGACATATGTCGAGCAGGCGCGCGGGTTCGCCGACTGGCACGAAGACAGCGTATTTTCGGACACCGATGCAGGTGGAATCGGAAACAGTAAGCTTTCATTTATGAAAAAGAATAGCTGATGACGAGCATAGTCGCCGGCCGCACGATGATGCACACGATTCTGACGTCGCTCGAGCGCATCGCGTTCAACGGCGACCCACTGCAGATGATGCTCCTCCAGACAACGTATCAGCCGTTCATCTCGCTCTTCCATGAGGCCGAGATCGCCGACGACGCGGGCAAGAAGCTCCAGGGCATCCGTATGTTCTTCGGGTTTCTTCAGCACGCAATTCACCTGTACTAGCTAACTTCGGCTCCGCCCTCGCCATCGAGCTCCGCAAGGGCGCGCCACCGGACACGCGCGACTTCTTGCGGATGAAGTTCCTCAACGCGACGGAGGGCGACTGGAAGCTTGTGCATCCGTTCGGGCACAAGGCGGACATCCCGCTCACCGAGTTCATCTACCGCGCAGAGGTGCGGTCGCTCGCTTTGAATGTCAATCGCTGTGCTGACATGCTGTAGGGTGCCTCGATCAAGAGCAACAAGGAGTGGGCCCAGGTCTGCGGCGCCAGTGGCAGTGCAACCAGCAGCCGGCTGTCGCTCCCGACGACCGCGCACGAGGCCGCCCGCACCGCCGTCCCGCTCGCGCTGGGGATGATGCTCGCGCTGCTCTTCGTCTTTGTCAGCCACTTTGTGCTGGGCGCGGTCCGCCGCAAGCGCGAGGCGCGCCGGGTGCGCCTGTTGGGCGAGGAGGCACAGCTGCAGGGCCCGCAGGCGGTGGTCGTGGATAAGGTGCGGCTGTAAGGTGTGAATCCGGGATATTGTATTCTATTTTGCTGTGATCTCGGTGCGTAGTAGCCCGTCCGATGTATGTAGTGAATGAACGATCAATTTTCTTCTTGCACATACAGCCAGTGTTGCTAAAGTGAAGTTGAACATTGGTCAGCGGCCATTGACTGCCATAAAACGCCACTAATAAGTACAACATTACATTATGGACCTTGGCACTCATCAACCGTCCTCCGGTCCGATCCAGGTGGCTCAAAATAGCCGCTCACAGAAATTCAGGGAGTTCCTTCTCCCAAATCGTTTGACAGATATCATCTCCGCATATGAGAAGAGCATCATTGATTTCCAACCGTGACATGACCTGAATGTGATTATATATTTCTTTCAGTTCAGACGCTTTCTTAATATTGTAACTCACTGGCAGTTGTTTGCTACACTAGATACCAACTACATGGTCCACCAGAGACTTTTTGTGGCTATTACTCCAAGTAAGCCGAGCAAACAATTGATGTTTGTATTTCCTATACTGACAATCAGTACCAGAGCTGGCAAGAGATTGTCCTCCCCCATCAAAATTCTTCACTGGGAGACAGGATGCCTTACAGAAGCTGGATGACATTTTCAACTCTACTACTAATACAGAGCAGAGTGTTGTTCTGCTTCATGGTCTTGGTGGTGCAGGAAAAACACAACTAGCTTTGAAATACATTGAAAATGCTGGTTCAAGGTTATATAACAACTTATCATAGTTAGCCTTTCTGACCTCCCATGATCAGATTCTATGAACAGTTCAAGATTGATGCCAGCAGTGAAGAAGCAATTGAGGCAGGGTTCAGACAGATAGCCATTGCAAAAGATATTGGAGACTCTGTGGCAGCTGCACAAACATGGTTCAAGCAGAACAAAACTGACTGGGTTATACTGTTTGACAATGCAGACAAGCGAGACCTAGATCTTGGCAAATATTTACCTAGGTGCTCTCATGGCAATATTATTATAACATCTCGCAATGCTCTCTGGGTTCATGCTGGATCCAGAGACAGGGCCATCAAATTAGCAGACTTTCCTATGGATGATGCTGTTACTCTGCTATTATCATTATCAGGAGTGGAATACAATGCAATCAACAGATCAAAAGCAGAAAAGATAGTCAAGGTGAAGTATACCTCCTCCAATATGAGAATCTTTCTGACTCAATGAGGAGTTGAAATGTTTCCCATTGGCAGTTGCCCAAGCTGGGGCCTTTATTGGCCAGTCATCATCACTCCAAGATGATATTTCTCAATATTTAGTAGTCTATGAGGAGAATAAATCTGCAATTTTGAGTGAGAAGCCTTATCAATCTGTTACAAACTATGACTGGACAGTATATACTACATGGAAGATTAGCTTTGATCAACTCTCAGCCAGTGCAGCACAGTTCATACAAATATGCTCATTCTGCCACTATGAGGGCATTACTGAAGATATCTTCAAGAAAGCCTTTGAATACAGGCCAGATAATACCTCTTTGGAGCCAAGTGCAGAGGAACTTGAGCCAAGCAATGCCTTTCTTCAAAATTTCAGGAATCTAAACCACAAGTGGAGTAAGTTGAAGTTTGAGAATACACTTACAGAGCTTCATCACTATTCTTTGGTCACATTTCATAATGCTGCCTACTTTATCCATCCACTGGTGCATGAATGGACAAGAACAACCATTCAAAACCCAGGATTAAGCAGAAAATACATGCTTACTATCCTGGCTAGAGCTGCAATACGTTCCCGAAGCCTCACTGAGGAGCTAAAATTAGTTTCACATGTGAAAACTATTATAGATTTTGGCATCCAGGTACCATTTGTCCTGGAAAGATATTTGATAAAGATCTACAGTGCTGCTGGATGGCTAAAAATAACAGATGAGGCAGCTCAGCGAGTATGGCATAACTTTGCAAAACATGTTGATCCAGATGATCTAGAAAGGGCTTCTGTTGAAGCTCAGGTTGCCTTGGCAAAAATGCAAGTTGGGGACTATGAGGGTGCTGAGGTATTTCAAGAGCATGTTGTTGAGCAAAATCTTAGAAAATGTGGTTTTGATGATCAAACTTTGATTGCAATAAACAATCTGGCAATCATATACTTGCATCAGGATAAATATGAGCAAGGAGAATATTATCAGAAGCTTATTGTGAGATGTTACAGGCAATTATATGGACCAAGGCACCCTTAGACCATTCAAGCATTGGGCTTGTTGGCTGGTACATACTGGAGACTAGGGTGCTGTGAGTAATGCAAAAAAACATTACTCACACCGGTTTCGAAACCGGTTTCGAAACCGGTTTCGAAACACCCCCTGTTTCGAAACAGTTTCGAAACCGGCCGGCCGGGGGGGTCCGCTGACAGTCGGCGGCTCGGGACAGCGCCGGGTATCACAATCCCGAGGCACACTATGCGCCAAGCCCAACTGGAGCAGCAGTGGAGCCCCACTGCCGTGAACACCCATCTGCCCGGCCTTCCGCCAGTAAGTGCAGGTGATATTGGGAGGGCATCAAGCCCTGACAGCCGGGCCCGGGCTTGCCGGAGAATCACGTGTCGGTTTCGAAACCGGGTCGGCCGGCCACGGCATTCAAAACTAACACGTGTTTCGAAACCGGTTTCAAAACCGTTTCCGAAACCACAGTTACTCACAGCACCCTACTGGAGACAGTTGAAAGTTGTAGAAGGGACCCATGTCTATATAGAGATGCTGTCTGGAGAGGTAGATTTATCAGCTTCTGACTGCCAAGAGTCTCCGCGTACAAGAAATCAAATTTCTCGTGCCTATATATTTCTAGGCCAGTTTGAGAAAGCAGAACACCTTAATAAGACTCTTCTTAAAAAGTATACTTTGCTGCTGGGGGAAAACCATCCAGACACTATTGACATTGCAGCCAACTTAGTTGTCATCTTGCTAAACCAGGAAAAATACAATGAAGCCCAACTCTTACAGAAAAGAGTGCTTGAGAAATTCCATCTTGTATATGGACCAGACCATCAATACTGTAGTATTTCGATCAATTAATCATGTCACGGTCACATTGAGATTTTTGGCCGAAATTTTTCTGCCTGTCACAGGTCACAGCAGATATGTTTGGTCCGAAACCATCCCAAAATGGTAATTTCCAAATTTTTACTTCCATATAAGGCAGGAGGTCACACCAAATTTTGCCCTTGGCTGAATTGCACATTTCTGCCACATGTGTCACAGGTCACAGGGCTGCAGAATTGATTGAAATACTACAGTATACGGTACAGGCTGAAGAGCATCTTCTTGATGTGTATAGGCTACAGGAGAATGAAAAGCATGATACTTAAATACCCAATGTGAAGGACAAGAAATCAATTTGAATTTACTGTTGATCATGATATTATCAATACCCAGAGGACCAAGTTCCCTTTTAGGCAGGTGAGAAGGAGTATGATCGTAGGAAGAGTAGCCTATTTATCTGCTGGTTGATACAAATTCCTGTACCTTCTAATAACAAAAGAACAACTGTTAAGTTTTCATTTCAATTGTTTGGGTGAATTGATCTTTGATCAATGGGCCTTGACTAGTTATATTTCTTCCCTACCAATGTGACAGGTTTACACCAGACCTTCTCAGTACTATGTCCATGCGTTGAATTATTCAGTTCGTAGACTATCCAAAAGCCTCTCTACATCTTCCACACGGAGTTTTTCCCTCCGCCTGATTGTGCAATTAAATGGCAGTGGAAACCTGCCATGCATATAATCAGCCTCATCTCACAATCAAGGGAACAACACGCACGAGATGAACCCTGAGTCATACTCATATGTCGGTTCGACGTCTTTCCCCTCCCCATCGCGTGCCTTCATGACATCAAACACGGCGAGCACGCATGCAATAGTGAGGAACAACGACACGCGCGCCATGTGCCGGCCTGGGCAAATGCTGCGATTTGTCCATCGTCAAAGCACATTCAGCGGAGTACGGAAAGACAGCTCACCGACGGCCATAGCCAAATGCGCTTTCTGGGTCGACGGCACTGAGATCTGGTTGCCATGTAGGGTTTCCCTCCAGTCCGAAGTCGGGCAGCGGGAGGAGAAACCGCTCAGGCTTGAAAACATAGGGTTCTGGATACGTCGCCTACCGCTAACGATAAAAAGGTCGCGCCGTAGAGGTCTCTACACTTACTTCATCGTGTAGAATTGCCCTGGTCGACATTCAACTTGGTGCAATACCTGATATTTCCACGTACCATGTGTTGCCGATAACGATCGAATTCGCGGGGATTCGATACCCACGATATTCATCCTCCGACGCAAGATAATGTGGAATTGCTAAAATCAATCAGTGTTTGCGTTCTGCTATAAGCGACGGCTCACCTATCGGTCCTAAATTCCGCCACCGTAACACCTCTTTAATCAGTGCGCTGACATACGGCATATGCCCCGCATCGTAATCCTCACACGACGGCAGGCGCACACCACCGGTGATTCCATCGATCTCGGCTTGAGCGCGTCGCATGGCCCCTGGATTTGCGAGCATGGCGAGAATAAAGTTGGCGAATGCCGACAGTGTCGTATCCGCGCCGCCAAGATACAGCGTGCCCGCCATTGAGCGCACGGTCTCCGCGTTGTAAAACGCATGCGGATCGCACAATCCTTGCAGCTTGGAAGCCACGAAGGAAGGTGGCGCAGTTCCTAGTTGCTTGAGAGGAATATATGATCAGTCACTTAGAGTCTTTCCAAATTGACCAGTCCACACCATTTGGCGCTTGGTCTCGGCGAATGGGACTTCCACGAGATCCTTTGCATAGTCTCGCCAGATCCGGGCATCTTGTTGAAAGCCTGCGCCAGGCACCCATGCCGGAATATATTTCAAGAGTGGAATAGCGTCCTTGCAGTTATCAGCTACGCGGATAATACTATGACGCGATGCACGACAAACCACCAAATATTTCCCAGGCACGCCCGCGGCGGATAGCGTGCCGACGGCGAGCTCGGCGATGCGAATATACGGGTCATTCGTCTCGAGTAGGTCGATTCCATAGGTGCTCTTCATCGTTATTTCGGCGGTCCATCTGCACTGAACGTCAGTCTTGTCGCACCAGAACGACACGACAACGCATTCACCTCCTAAAGCACGCAATCCAATCTTCGTATTCGCTAGTTCCAGTAGGGCCGGCCGTTTCTTCAAGCTGCAGCAAGCGACGAAGAAGATTCCGGGTCGCGGCGAGCTGTGCGGGCCTGAATTGGCGCGACTTCGCGACACTCCCGAAGTCCTGGTTCATTAGTCGACGATTAGCCCGCCTAAGAAGTAAGCTGAATATGTTGCGGGTACTATTTCACTGAGAGCACAGACCACTCGTCACCATACTTCATCATCGCTATGAAAATTGAATTCATGCACCATTTATGAAAGAAAGAAAATAAGACATACCGACGTTATAATCATATCCCATGAGCTCAACAACCATCGGCGACCGCGGGCTGCAGCGATTCATCGTACAAGGAAACAGCTTGTGGAAGTCATACCGGTCAGAATACAGTGCGGAGCGTTTCTCTAGTAAATCTCGTGTTGCCTCAAGGGAGCAGAGCACGATGAGGGACTGGCCGGCGATGTCGAGGTGGAGGATATCGGACTCTAGTCATAGTGAGTAGGCAGCTGCAAGGATCAGACGGCAAACCTACTATACTGTTTGCTCCACGCCATGTACGTCTCCCAAGGATGGTGGGATGGCATGTCCAGTAAATTCCCTAAGAGCGGGAGCTTCTTCGGACCGGGCGGAAAGCGCTTCTTCGCTCCTTTGTCCGATTGACGCTGGGCGTAGAGCCCGTACAGCGCGATGCCAATTCCCGTTACAAGCAGTAGCGCAGAGGATTGAGAGGAAAGTGGTGCCATCGGAATTCGGGAGAAGGTATTGGATCCGCGAAGGCCTGATATATCCAGCAAGAAGCGGTGTTTGTGGGGTCGCGATGGGTAAAATGGCTAGCTTGTGGGCCCACCTCGTGTCCGAGTCCGCGGATCTGCCAGCGTGTTGAATGGAACGCTAAGTCTACTTATGCGATGATGGGACCCACGGGTAGATAGACGGGAGACAAGAATTGGTCCGGGGCACGGGCATTGGCTGGATTAACGCCGCAATTGACGGGATATCAGCACTAGAGCCGGTTCCGAGAGCCACAAGACCACGCACCTGCCGGGGCGATCTGTTCCCCGCCCGGTGCGCGGCTCTCCGCGGAGAACAGCCCTAAAATCGTGGGGGCAACAACATTGAGCCATCCCGCGTGGATTCCGAAGCCATCGTTTAGCCGCAACGTGGACCTCTTGTTGACCGATGGTGGCGGTTCGTGTCAAGGAGTGATTCGTGTGACATGATTATTTATCATTTGTGTGACATGATTATTTATCGGCCACCGTGACGGCTAACTATTTTTTCTTGGTTTTTTCATCGTGAGGCGAGTTGCAGCCGAACTTCCGTTCCCAGATTTCCCGAGGCTGGCCCGATGCATCTTTAACAACTGTCAGAACCTCTTTGGCCTACTCACCTATGTTGAAGTATCGGGTAGCGAACCCGAGTATCGCCGGCCGGATGACATCAGCGCCGGACCGAGGCTCCGCATCAGGAATGTTCTCTAACATTCCATACTGTAGAATATACCAGAACAAGTAGAGTAGTATAAATACTCTGTATTCCTCTGTAATAAGCATTGGTTTTCCCCTTCTTCCTTCAACAGGTTATGGGCCCCGCCTAGCCTGAACTGTTAACACACGCACCAATCCTCGCCTGCATCATCCTCCCACTCCGCGGAACTCTCACGCTATGACGCACACTCTCACGCCTCTCATCAGCGCCAGCGCATCAGCACTCTTGCCGCCTAGCTACACCCTGGAGACAGCCCAACGAGCGCCTTTGGGACGGACCGGACAGCGAGTACACAGCACCCCCACGCCGGATGACCCCACGGCATCGCCAGCGCGTACCGCCTCACAGCACAGCCATCGGCCCGGGACCACCCGCGATGCGCTCCTCCACTCTCTTGGCAACTCCCACGCACACTCGGACGGCAGCAGCACTGCACCGTCGCCAGCAGTCAGCGGCTCGGGACCGCCTTCACACCCCCGGCCGGATGCTCGTCTCGATACGGCATCGCCCGCGCCCAACTCCTCGCATCAGCCTAACAGCGGACTCAGCGCTAATGCCGCCAGTCGCCAGCTTACCTGTCACCATTGCGGTCGGCCCGGCCATCGAGATTCTCAGTGCCGCGACACGCACATTGCCTACACGGCCCAGCAACGATCATCCAACTATCACCGCACCATCCGCCATTGGCGTCGACGCGGGAACCCATCACCGGCTCGAGAATCCTCGCCGGACACCGCCCTAATGGCCAACGGGCAGCAGCCGACGCTGACCCGGAGCTCCTGGCTGCTCGACAGCGGAGCCACCACCCACATCGTCAACAACAAAGCACTTTTCCACACATATATGCCGCTACAAAGCCATTATGTAGTCGGAATTGGTAAGCTTCCAGCACTGGGGGAAGGAACGGTACGACTGCAATTCAAAATTGGGTCTAAGGTAAACAAGGTCACGCTCCTCCGCGTCCTCTACCTTCCGGCTTCACCCCACAACATCATCTCACTCGGACGACTCCACCGCGCAGGCTATCGCCTCGAATTCCCCGATGACAGCGGCGACATCATCATCGCCAAGAACGGGCATCGGCTAGCCCACTGCCGGAACATCGGAAATGTCTACGCCCTTGGCAACGTCACACCGAACTGGACGACAGCCACCCCAGACAGCGACGACGAGGACTACAACTGGCAACCAGCTGTACCAACAGCACGACGGCAGGACCAGGGGGAGTTTACTACCCCAGTCAATGGCAAGCCTGGAGCAGCCCCCGAGGCCACAGCCAAGGCCCATTCGACACCACCGCGTAGCAACGCGCTGATCCCGACCACGCCGCCATCACCTCTAAGTTCTCTCACCCCATCTCCACCTACGTCGACTCACGCACGTCCGGAGCAACGCGCACAGCCAGCGAAAGCCCCGCGCGACATCAGCAGTCAAATTACGACTGACAATATCATACTCGGGCCACGCACGAAGAAATATGCGAAGCCCGGAGCAGCACTGGTCACCACTGAAGACGCCACTTACTTCGGCGGACTCGCAATCGAAGCGCCATCAGCGCAATGATCCTCTCACGAGGGACAGTTCCCATCTGCCACCAACAAACATCCATCTTCGGCTCGACTCGTGTTCGAGGGGGAGTGTTGAAGTATCGGGTAGCGAACCCGAGTATCGCCGGCCGGATGACATCAGCGCCGGACCGAGGCTCCGCATCAGGAATGTTCTCTAACATTCCATACTGTAGAATATACCAGAACAAGTAGAGTAGTATAAATACTCTGTATTCCTCTGTAATAAGCATTGGTTTTCCCCTTCTTCCTTCAACAACCTATGGTTCGTGGGTTCAGGCAGCCATGCTGCGTCGACTCTCGAGCGGCATCTCTGACGTGATCTCACCTTGATCTCACCACTTGCTGCCAGCGACGGCAACAACATGTAAGCAGTCACCATCAGAGTGACCAGTGACCACCTCTCCTTACCCTTTTACCTCATGGACTGACGGACATAGCTGAGGACGAGCGCACACCCGGCTCATGGTCCAAATCTCGAAGCGGGGCCGGGCACTCGAAGGGACGGCTCATCGGTGACAGTGATATTCAAGGTACGTGGCGCTTTCAAAATTTTCTCGTCTACAGTATATTCATTGCCACTAGGCATCTCTCTAGGATGTGGGCGTAATAAGTACGCTGTGCATTGTGAAACGCAGACTACGCGGCTGTCTTTGCTATCGAACCCCCATTCTCCGCAGACCGGCGCGCTCACCAACCTATCGGACAAACTTGCTCCAACACACCGCGCGGCGCTCGCCGTCTAAGTTAGTCACTCGGAGCAAATACGGTGCAGGCCGTGCAGCTTGCCACCCGAAATCTGATGCATTCAGGGTAGCCCGGTCACTGGCACATTCTGAACTCGAAACTCAAAGCCGAGTGAGACGCAGCAAGCAGCATTCCTGTATGGTGCATTGAATTGCCTGTCTGCCAACCCGTGTCTGTGTCTGCTGGAGACCTGCTGGACCTGAAGGTCTGAATGGACATTAAACCACGCAAGTCGCTAGCACCGCGCCACTGACTGGCGCCCAACGTCGTCCCTTGACAACAACGTGCCTGTTGTCGTACCTATAAAACCGGGCCTTCGCCCTCCCAAGTGCCACCCGCCCGCGCAAGCATGCACTTCCGCCTCTTCTCCCTCGCCGCCGCCGCCGCGATATTCGCCACCGTCGCCGGAACATGTGTATGTTCTCCTCCCGCCACCGCCACCGCCAGCGACTGACGCATACGCACCCCGTCCCGCAGGTCACCGTGCCGAAGACGGCCCTCTGCCCCAAAGGCTACGTCCTCTGCGGCCCGATCCAGGCCGGCCTGCCCAAGACGTGCTGCACCGTGCGTTTGCCTTCCCCCGGGGCCCGGGCTCGACGACGGGTGGCTGATGGCTTTGACAGACCGACGGACCATGCTTGTTTTGAGTTGAGCCTCAGGCTGCGGCGCGAAGTCGACACTAGCAGAAGGGAAGAATCTGCACGATAGTGAATATAATATGTCTACTTAGCGGCGAATTGCGCGGCAGATATGTGGTCAGTCCTTTAGGAAGTCACTAGGACTCTACAAGGGACTCTCGGAGCGATTTCGCCTGCATATCCGCAGATTGACCACTGAGTAAGCCGAAGGTTGGTTCGTAGCCAGCCTAGGCCATTCACAATCGTGAAGAGCCTCAGATCTTTTTACGATTGTCAAGTTGCATGGCTTTTACACGGAGTACTTATTTCCTGAGCGGTGAGTTTAGCCTCAGGCGGCGGCGAGATACTGGCAGTCGGACGCGGCAGGACTCGGAGGAACGTGTATGATTGTGAATATACTTAGCGGTGATTCAAGTTTGCGCGGGAGATAGCGAATTTTGTTAAAATTCCGAGTGATCCGAAGAGTGATGGGATCAAAATAAGCGCAGATTCTGTTTGCAATCGCAAACTGGTTAGAGTTAGATGCGTTAGGGCAAATGACTCTGCCCTTCTGCTAAGACTGCATTGAGCTTATATACTGAGTACATTTATATCTAGAATATTCTACATGTTTCTTAATCAGTCAGCAATGAATGGAATGTGCTGGAATATTCACAGCGAGTCACACATGTGACCATCAAACAAATTTGACTTGTAGTACCATGGTCAGTCATTTAGGAAGTCACCAGGACTCTCGGAGCGATTTGCTCTGCATATCCGCTGATAATTGATTGACCAAAGGTTGGTTCGTAGCCAGCCCAAGCCATCACCAGTGGCCTGATTTTTTGATGGATGGGTATTAGTATACGGGTTTATGGAAGGTATACTGTATCAAAAGTTTTGGAGATACAACTTTGATTTTACTGAAAACTCAATAACATACTTGCAACTTTTCATGCACAACTTTATGGCTCACAAGTATTACTCTCTGCAGCAACTTGACAGGGACAACTTTACCGGGACATACCAGATGAAGCAAGCACACGCAGAAACAGATGCGACACCTTGTAGTTAGATGCGACACATGTCCTATCTAAGCATCAAAATCAAAGATTTGATGCAGCAAGTTTTAATGATACAATCATAATATGATGATGAAGTAGATGGCAACAGTTAGTATTTTATGTTGTTAGTATTTTGTTAGTGTTAGATTAAGTTGGTTAGGTTAGGTTGGTTAGGGTTCAGTTAGGGTTGGTTAGGTTAGGTTAGGGTTGGTTAAAGGTTCGGTTAACGGGAAAGATACATTATATATGCTGTTGGGGATCATTTCAGTCTGATGAGACAATCAATGTGTCATAAATAATGTCAAAACAGAAGCGACACTTTAGTGATGTGATGCAACAGGTGTTGCATCTGTTTTTGCATGTGTTTCACAACTTTTTTTTTTTCAGACTTTTTAGAGACAACTCCAGGCAAGGTGTTTCCAGCTAAAACAACTGCCAGAGGGATTAATACAACTTGTGATTTATAGCAACATCTTTCATTTTCTCAACTACAATCTCAACTTTTTATATAGCAACTTCTTTCCAGAGCAACTACAACTTTGAATTTGTTAGTTGCAGGTTTTCAATATGCAGAACAACTTCAAAGTGATTGGCTGCAAAATCTTCTGCCACAACTACAACTCTCATATTATATAGAACGTTG